CCCCAGGCCTGCCAGGCCTCCTGGGCCAAAGCCCTACTGAATAAGAAAATATGTTCTTATGCAGTAGGATTTCGGACCCAAGGTCACCTTAAGAAAACTCACTTAGGAAAACCAGACTACTCTGACTGCCGTGGAACTCTAAATAGCGCAAAGCTACATGCGCTTCTAAAATAAGAAAACGAGACTACTCTGGGCCCATAAAGGTATTTTCTTAACCAGCGCTAGCGCTGTAGTTTAGGGTTTAGGGTTTAGAGTTTAGGGATACTCTGGAGCAATATAGGGGCTGTGAGAAGATTATGGCGGTTTACTTTGCAGGATATGTAAGGTTTAAGACCCCTTCTGCGCTAAGAACAACAGCAGGGGAGAAGAACCTGCGCTGAATGCTTCTGAAAATTACAAAGCACGACCTTCGTTCATATCTACATAAAGGCTTGCACACGGCAGTTGTCCAACGTTCTAATGAAGACAGGTTTCCGTCGGCACAACACCATTTTCGGTCACAATACTTTATCAAATAAAAGAACAGGACCAAAGCCAGAAAACAAAAAAAACATAGGAAAAATCAGAACCTGCTGGTAAGCCAAGGCACCTCCAGGTAAAGCGGCAAGGCTGGAGGCGTGCCTGTCTCATATGATTTTACCCGGGGACCAAATGATTTGGATTTGGGACATATTAATACTATTCCAATTTACATTACTACTGCGATCACTCTCACCACTGTTACTATGAACCTTTGGGTCTGAGCAACTGCATTCTTCCCCTAGGATGATCCATGTTCTTGAACTCCTTACAAAGTGAATGTACAGAAACGACTGGTTTTGCTTGAGTGCCCTCAGCTTCTTAAGATGAATGCTCGAAGTATATAGACTTTACTGCAAATACAAAGGCTCTTATCATCACTACGCTTGTTGATGCTATGCCTTTCTGGACTGTAAAGGCGGTAATGACAAGATCGCGCCTTGCAGCTTGTTTGGAGCCAAGGGGAGCAGCGCTTTGGCCGTTCCGTTTGGCGCCACCTTCCAAGACAGTTGTTCAAGAGAGGGGAGGAATGCTGGAAGTGGTGCTGCTTGCGGCTGCTGCTGCAGCTATATGGCTATGTTGCTATGTTGCTTTATTAAGATATTGATATGTGACTATATCAGGATCTATAAGACAACCTTCGGTGCACCTGCTCCATCTGCATCGGCCCACTGGGGGGTGCCAGGCCGAAGGGGTTCTTGTTGAACTGCACAGCCTTCCGCACTCAACTAGGTGGCTGTTGAGGAATTTAAATTAAGTTACGATAATACTGGAACCCACTGACCCCAAATCCTACACCCTACATCC